GTTAAATGACATCCTACTGTCCTACCGGCTGTTTTTTCTGATACGGCTATTCCTGCTTTGGATGACCGTCTGGCTTCCATCCGTGATACCTGGGTTAAAGTTTAATCTGCTCTGGGTACTGCTGCTGACCGTTTCAAGCATTATGCTGATACACCTTCGAGGTGCCAACCCTGTTTACCAAGTGGGTGAGAGGGTTTGGTTATCTTCTCGTAACATCAGGCTCAAAGTCCCTAGCATGAAATTTGCTCCTAGGTTCCTTGGACCTTTTCGTGTCCCTCGTAGGATCAATCCTGTTGCGTACTCTCTGGCCCTTCCGGCCTCCTTGAAAATTCCTAGTACCTTTCATGTGTCCTTGCTCAAACCTCTTGTTTGCAATAACTATACTGTTTCAAGTGTCCCTCCTCCTCCCTTAGTTGTTTCTGGACAGGAAGAGTACGAGGTCTCCTCCATAATTGATTCCAGGTTTTCTTGGGGCATTTTACAGTACTTGGAAAGGTTATGGACCAGCCGATCGTTCTTGGGTTCCGGCATCTGATATTCATGCTGGCCGCAAGATTCGCTATTTTCATGCCAAATTTCTTCTCAAGCCTGGTCCTGCCCGCCCGATGGGCGTTCTTCAGGTGGGGGGTAATGTCACGTATTCATCCGCTTATAAAAAATGTGGTTAATGGCATTTACTGTCAACACATGAAAAGTTGTGCCGAGCAGCAACCAAATCCACAGAAGGGTTAATGCTGAGCAACAAGTATGCAAATGAGAACCTGGTAACTGCCTTTGTGGTCAAAGGCCGGTTACAGCCTATCAGATCTAAAGGAGGGGTATTTAGGGCCAGTTCTCATCCTGCTCAGTGCCCTGTCGTGGTTTCCCTTGTGGTTGTCCGAGAGCGCGTTATTTATTTTTGTTATTCTGGTCATTTGACTTTGGCATTGTTTTTGACTTCCCTGTTTTCTGGCATCCCTGACTCCTGGCTTTTCCTTATCATTGTGTCTCTTTCTGTATCCCTTGACCTCGGCTATTCCTGACTATTCTTTGGTACGTTAGTCCGGCCATTCTAAGGTCCGGTATACGTTACCTATCAGTCATCTATGTTAACACAATTCTACGTGCTGGATCATTCTGTAATCCTGACACTGCTCCCTCCTATAAATGTTCATACCAGACCACTACCTTCTCTCGTATTAAACATATCTATAGCACCACCATCTACCTCACTTCCCTCTATATCGTACAACACATTCTGCATTCTCTCATTTTCCAAGTTTGCCTTTGTTACTATCCTGTATCCCTTCTACTTCCTTCTTCAAAATAATAATTATTTTTTGGACAATCTATTATTTTTTTGTTAGTTTTTCTTTATTTACAAAACAAGTCTGTGTTTATGTGACTCAATATTGGGACTTGGATGAATAGAACTATTACAATTAAAACATAGAATAACATTATGACGAACTGTGTGGGCAGCGGATTTTGGTTCAGCCTGGGTTTTAGCGGTGGGCTAGTGAGTTGCGTGTCTGAGTCGGTTTTCCAATGCTCTTCTGTTTGTAACTGGCATTGCTCAGCTAACTCGTGTGTCATAAAAGTGTGCTTCCTTTTAGAAGTGCATGTTTATGTCATCTTGGGGAAGCTATGTGTCGCAGTAGCCAGTGCATCATTCGTGCAAGGGCTATGTTAGTGCAGGGTCTTCAGCTGTGGAGGTTTGTTCAATGATTGGTCAATTATTGACCTAGCACCTTTAACATTTTGTCTTCCTCAAATTTTTTCCATTTTTTTAAATTCTTTATTTTTCATTTTTCTATTTAATTTATCAAATAGGCTCCAAACGGCCTTTGTCATCACCCATTTTCTTGTTTCTTCTATATTCTTCCATTTCCCCTTTTCTCTTATCTGCACCAATCTTGTATTCTTTTATCATCTCTTTCTCCCCTATTCCTCAATTTCCACCATTCAGTTCTCTATTATCAACAATGTCCAAAGTCCATCATGGCTTTCTTCCCTTTGTATTTTTTTCTTTTCCATTGGTTCTTCTCTTGGTCTTTCTTCTGTTCTTCTGGTTTTTTTTTACTTCACATCATTACTCTTCACTTGTTACGGTAATAGCCACAAAGATTTAAAAAATAGAAAGGTAACAAGTACCTGCATCAAACCACTCAAAAGGTTTTGTGGACCTAATGCTCAAAAGATTCCATCCTATTTGTACTAAACAAAGCCCTCTGAGTAGCTGGCCCACCCAAATGTGTTCACATAAAAACAGATTGGTATACAAACCAAACATTTGTCACTTTCGATTCTCTGCTAAACCACAGGGTGTGACAGACTGACAGGGACATAATTGTGCATGAATATTTAGTATAAATTCTCATCTGTTCACGGATACAGATAGTTGTTGTCCTTGTTCTCCTATTGTCAAGACATGTTTAACTTGTTCTTTATTGAACCCTTGTTTTTGTTCTCTTTCTGCTCATTGTAAAGTTCAAGCTCTGTATATGGTTTATTCATGAAATATCGTATAACAGTAATATTCATGATCAACAGTAGTGTGACTTATGATTTGCATTGTATTGAAAGAACAATAGTTTCTTTACTCTATAACACTGAAATGCTATTTACAATAATTTAAACCACATTTCTACCATTTAGAGTGATTTACACAGATCTCTTTAAAATACACATATGTATATGAGTAAGATTTTTGGCAGTCTAAGAAAAGAGGCATTTTAAAATAGCTGAATGATGTTGGCCAACCATGACAAGGATATTTTTTCAAATGTACCTGAACAATCCTGAGCCGGTAGTGGCTATCCTTGTTTGTGAGTGCATTTTCTATTACCTTATTCCTCACCTCTGTCATATACAATATTACACTATTTTGGTATCCTTGTCATTTCATATCACAAAACCTGCATAAGCTGGTGAACACACTACAATAAGCATGGAATCGCTAGAATGATGTAGGTTGCTGCAGCATCAGAAAACAATGCAAGGACATATGAGCATGGCGTCAACAGTAAGGCGCTATTGCACAGAAAATTATGCACGTTCAGGGAGATATAAGATGACACTGCATGAGAAGCCCGCATCAAAACTCACAACAGAGTGATGCACAACGTCTATTCTTGTGCCTATGGTGGCATCTGCATAAAGGGGGATTCAGGATAAATATAGAATGCATGTGTGTTTTCATGTGGGTGTATTTTTGTCGTCATTCATTAGTGATTCCAGAAAAGATAAGCTCAAACAAGACTGTGCAGTTATGACCTTAAATTATTTGAAGTAGAAATGCACAAAAATATAGCAGATTCTTTTGACCAACGCCTGTTTATTTGAGTAAGATTTATGCATAGTTTTTTGACATTTGTTTGACTTTAAACCTAAAAAAAAATTTTTCGCACCTAAACATACGTCAGCATATTGAACCTTCACTTAGCAAGACAGAGTTTGTGGAAATTGGAATACCACAAGAAGAAAATGTTCTCCAATTTCACTGGTAATAGACCGGGCTAGTTCAGTTTACACTTAATAGATGTTTACAGTCAGATGCATACAAAGTTGAAAACGTGGTGGGTATTATATTTGGTATTTATGTACATAAAATGTGCAAATGCAACACTGAAGTGAAAAAACAACAAAATAAGAAAAAATATTCATACCATTATAATTACAATTATTCTAAGTCATTTGTTTCTAATATGGTCAATACCAACCCCTTCTTGCTAAAAAGAAAGTCATTACTGTTAGCATGTATCAGCTGCTTATCAACTGCTAAATTTCATAACGGCTCCTGCTACTGAAACCATTATTCTACATAGGAGACATCCATTACTACTTAGCAATTAGTTTGGAAACAAGTCTTTAAGTGTGCACTTACAACGTCTGAGTGAAAAAAAATTAAATCCAGTGCTAAATGATATAGAGAATGTATAACACCCAATTCTATATGATATATACGACACTAACATAAATCATAGAAAATCAGTCTTTGTTCAATCAGAATATTGCAGATCATACGTAGGAGGTAGGAAAAGCAATATATAATGCATTCTGAATGGTAATAATGACAAATATAATTTATTTCATATACTCCCTTAAAGGAATTCTCCTCGCTTGGTTTCTGTTCAGTATTTATAGATAACATCAGTGTGTAATGTTTTGATTATCTCATGACACATCTTCAAACGTATCACTTTCCTGGAACTGACACTATCACAAACCCTCACTATACTAAATTCCATGTTGTGAGTAATGCAATGGAGGTACGATACCCTTTGATACTGCAAGATGTGTGCTCTGTAATCTACAGACAAATGTCACCCAAGTGTGCAATCGGGCATTTCTTCCATAGTACCATGTGTGCACATGTCTACAGCAGTGAAGGACTTTTTTTTTCTTTTATGTGGTATTCTCTGGCTATTCTAGGCTAGTCACGAATGGAATTTAAATGAAAATAAATAAATAAAATTGAGACTTAAAATAAAGCTGATAATTAACAAGAATTAAGCCCACATTTCACTTTTAGTTAGGTATTGGAATGTGGAAAGAAAAAAGCAACATAAAACACACGTGATATTTTGAATACTGTTACATAGAAGGGAAGGGAAGAAAGAAAGAGACAAGTAGGGGACATTATGGACCAAATCTTTCAAGATTTCAAGAGCAAAGATAGTTTAAAACTCTTTATATGCAACACAGTTGCAGCTTTTGTCAACATAAAAGTTTTATGTAGAAATTGGAGAATGCTGAACCTGTAATAATTATTGTTCTGTCATGTTGATGCATTTCGCCTCCTCAAAGTGAATGATAGTATACTTAATCTATTAATTCTTCAAACTTGTGTTTAAAATCCAGTAAATACTTTGCATTACAGCTAACAGGGAGAATATGAGTTACAGGGTTATTTGTTGGCAATATAATTTATGGAAGATCTATAGATAGTGATGTCCCGAATGGTTCGCTGTGGACGGCGAACATATGCGGTAAACTTTGACCCTGTACCTCACGGTCAGCAGACACATTCCAGCCAATCAGCAGCAGGCCCTCCCTCCCAGACCCCCCCACCTCCTGGACACCTCACTAAGAATGCAGCTTCACAATTAATGTAAAATGGATGCTGTCCAGGAGGTGGGAGGGTCTTGGAGGGAGGGTCTGCTGCTGATTGGCTGGAATGTGTCTGCTGACTGTGAGGTACAGGGTCAAAGTTTACCGCAAATGTTCGCCGTCCACGGTGAACCGTTCGGCGAACCGTTCGGGACATCACTATCTATAGAAAACTTAAAAATATAACAGGGTGTAGAATGACTTGGAAACTCTGTTTATGTTTTTGCTATTCTCTTCAACCCTTCACCACGAAGCAGGCTACTTAAAAAACCCCACCAGAAATAAAGCATTTTTTTTTTTTATAATTCCTTATTTTTATTGTGAATGGTTTCAAATACAGACAGACTTCTAGTGCCACAAAAGCATCAACAAGCATGGGAACACATAATATTTAAAAAGTATGTGGCTGCAAAATGTATGCACATTTAGTATTATATAATAAAACAGGTGAATAACACATGTCTAGATTCGATTACTATCACCTGAAAAACAAGGTTGTAGAAAAGACATGGTAGGAGTTGGGCAACCGTATAGTATACCACCCCAGACTACCCTATACTTATTAGAGACATCCTTCATAAATGGTAACATCTAATAGGGCATTTTCATCTGATGTTTATAGACATGAGGCAAAGATAAGTAAGAGAAGAAATGGAATAGCTTAGATCTGCTAGAGAGCAAGTGGGATCATGTAGTAAACAGCAGAAATGGTTGCAGCATGCAACCGGAAGCTCAAACATGGCGGTCAGCCTATCCCCAGTTCAGAGAATTCAAAGTCCCAGATGGCATGGACTTGCAACCTCAGAGCTGATGGGGTCAGCTGCAGGTTCTGGTTCTGCTGTTGCCTCCCACCTATCTCTCCTTCACACTGCATGACCCATATGTTTGTTCCAAAGGTGCAATGCTGCCAGGTTTGCCAGCGTACCGCTGTGTTCACAGCTGCTCTTACAATGCGCCGCTGATATGGCCTCTGCCTTTTTCTGCGTACTGGGCCCTTGATAGCAGTAGCCACGTGGCTTGGGATGCATCCAGAGAAAACCTCGACGGGTGTAGGAGCAGGTACGGTCAGCTTACTCTCAAGCTTTTTCAAGAAAGAGTGCTTCCAGGTGGTGGTGAAAAGTGGATGTCTCTTCGTGGGACTCCAAGTGTCTCATTGGGTCCGGCATTTTGTATGCATTCCTGGCAGTATCGCCGGCACCTGGGTCACCGTCACGGATCCCTGCTGGGTTTTGGGAGCCAACAGGGTAGGGACTGGGGTCACCCTTGCCGTGCCATAGAGGAGTAAGCGGGGTATCATCACCAGTTTCAGTACCCTGTCAGTGTTGGTTCGTAAAATTGTCCGCCTCCTCCCCTAGCGCCTACTGGGCCACGCGAGTATTTGGCGTCGGATATACCCTGGAAGCCACTGGAAGTACCTAGACCCATCAGGTTGGGAATATAGCAGAAGTTTAATTGCACGCTGGGAGTAGATAGCTGGAACAGCAGTTAATTGGGTTTTGTTCAGCTTTTCCTGAGGAGCTCGCTGTAAACATTTCTAGATGCCATGATAAGCAAGCCTCGCATCCCAAACATTTTATAGGGATTCCAAGTGGAACTCAATATATAATGTGTTTGTCATTATGAGTAATATGATGATGTGACAGTATTATAATGATGGTCGTCTTTAAATCGACAGTTGTGCTTGGGTCTTTTATTATACGGGATACATCAGTGTACCCAGTGATAGATGTTTTCAGGTATTTAGGGGGATACTTAGCATTAGGGGGTAACGCCTTTCAAGATACTGTAAGTTATAACTCCAATCGCTCCAATCTGGCTGAGTGTAATGGATATTAAATTCCATAGAATTTAGGCAGCACCTGCCAAGATAACAGGCAACCGTGCAAGGCTCCCTCTAATTACCCCCCAATTCTAACTGATCCCCCTGACTCTATCCTACCCAAATCTAAACTTATCTGAATGGATCACGTTATTGAGATCAGTTTAAATGCTGCTGCTGCTAACATCAGTGTAATGTCATTATGGGCTAAGACGCACTGTAAATATTTAAAAGTCACCAATTAAACTGCAATTTTTGGAATGTATTTATTGGAGTGATAAAAAGGGGACAGCGTGTGTTGGTGTAACAGCTAAAGCCTGTGACATACTTTGTATATTTGGTGACAATTTGTATATTTGGCAACGCTTATGGATATAATATGGGCTTATTACGCTGGCACTCATATGTACACCAATAGAACCCCTGGACTAACGGTAACACCCACGGATCCACCAATGAACTTAGGGATTAGCCCTATATAGAGAGACTCATTGGGGGGGATATCATAGGATTTTTTGTGATTGATGTTTTTATTGTTATATTAGTGGTATTTGGTCCCTGAGGAAGTTCCACTCTAAGGAACGAAACGCGTAGGACCTGAGGTCCTCTAATTTTACATCTTTGAGCTAATGTTAATTGCTCTTTTTTATAATAAAATCGCTGATTATTTTTTCCTACCTACACCTATTGGAGTCTCATATTATATTTGGTCCGCTTGAAATACCAGTGGGAAGTGAAGGAATTTAGCCACTCAACAACATCTGGGGAGGCACCCTTGAGCGTACCATACGTTTCAATCTTGTGAGTGTATTCCAAACTATGGCGCACGATTGATTTATTTTACTGTATTGCACTATGTATTTTTTTAATGTTTCCTTTTAAGATTTGGTACAGCCGTATCCCATACGTTCTTTGTATATCTACTCATAGTACCCAGATTATAGGCAGCCAACTATTGGTGATCACACACAGAGAGCTGCTAATCTGCTTTATATGGCCAGAGTAGCTAAATACAGATGCCTTTTGATTAACCATGCATTGCTCTAGGAGAGTAAGGGGGGGAGTGGGGAGGAGTATAATTAGACGCCTTAATATAATTGAAAACTGGAGACTCCAACCCATTATTTTCATAATGCATAAAAAATATAAACATAAACAATAAATGAAACATGAGAAAAAAAACAATGCTCACAATTGAATTACCTGTTATATTTATTGATCGCTGGTGGCCAGGGCCGGACTGGCCCACCGGAATACCGGGAAATTTCCTGGTGGGCCGCAGCACCTAGGGCCGGTCTGACACCCCTAATCATTGGGCTGACAGCTCCTGTGATCCCGGCCGGCCATGTGTGAGCTGTGCGGCCGCACAGAGCCCCATGGGAGCAGGGGGAGCCAGGCAGCCGGCACAGCTCACACATGGCCGGCCGGGATCATAAAAAAATAAATAAATAAATAAATTGAGGCGGGGTGGAGCTTAGCGTGCGGCGGGGGCGGGGCTTACTGTGCGGCGGGGCCCTGGCTGACTGCAGCATGGGAAGCAGGAAGGAATCCCTGCTTCCCCAACAACCAACCTCCAGGAACTCCAAGGGATCTGGAGGTAAGAAGGAGGTCAGTGTGACTGTCTGTGTGTGACTGTCTGTGTGTGTGACTGCCTGTGTGTGACTGTCTGTGTGTGTGACTGCCTGTGTGTGTGACTGCCTGTGTGTGTGACTGCCTGTGTGTGACTGTCTGTGTGTGTGACTGCCTGTGTGTGTGACTGTCTGCGTGTGTGTAACTGTGTGTGTGTGTGTGTGACTATGTGTGTGTGTGACTGTGTGTGTGTGTGACTGTCTGCCTGTGTGTGTGACTGTGTGCGTGTGACTGTGTGTGTGTGTGACTGTCTGCCTGTGTGTGACTGTCTGTGTGTGTGACTGCCTGTGTGTGTGTGTGGCTGTCTACCTGTGTATGTGGCTGTCTGCCTGTGTGTGTGTGACTGTCTGCCTTTGTGTGTGTGGCTGTCTGCCTGTCTCTGTATGTGTGGATGTTTGCCTCGGTGTCAGTGACTGTCTGCCTCTGTGTGTGCGCGCACCTGCTAGTGAGGGAGCCTCTGTGTGTGTGTGCCTGCTAGTGAGTTTGTGTGTGTGTGTGTGTGTGTGCCTGCTAGTGAGTGAGCTTGTATGTGTGTTAGTGAGCTCTTGTCTGTAGTGAGCATGTGTGTCAGTGAGCTTGTCTGTAGTGAGCGTGTGTGTCAGTGAGCTTGTCTGTAGTGAGCATGTGTGTGTCAGTGAGCTTGTCTGTAGTGAATCTGTGTGTTAGTGAGCTCTTCTGTAGGGAGCATGTGTGTGTCAATGGGCTTGTCTGTAGGGAGAGTGTGTGCGCATCAGTGAGCTTGTCTGTAGTGAGCGTGTGTGTGTGACAGTGAGCTTGTCTATAGTAAGCTTGTGTGTGTATCAGAGTTTGTCTGTACTAAATTTGTGTGTGCCAGTAACCTTGTCTGTGTGTGTCATTGAGATTGTCTGTCAATGAGCCTATTTGTGTGCATCAGTAAGATTGTCTGTGTCTGTGTGTGAGTATGCTTTACTGTATAATTTAATTACCCTAAAATAACTAATATTTTGAATTAGAAGAAGAAATGTATCAATAATATAGATATATATATATATATATATATATATATATATATATATACTATTGCATCACCAGAGCTCCAGTATCCAGGCAATTGAAATAGTTGGCTGCACTCTCAGATTTCCTTAAAACTTAACATTTATTGAAATATTTAAGAGAAGATCAATGTTTCAGTGCCTCTTGTGGACTTTCATCATGATCCTGATGCAAGTCCACAAGAGGGACTGAAACGTTGATCTTCTCTTAAATATTTCAATAAAAGTTACATTTAAAGGAAATCCGAGAGTGCAGCCAACTATTGACTATATATATATATATAACACCCTACATAGCACAATGACTTATGGGGCTGGCATAGATTTTTTTCCAGGGCTGCTTCGTGTCCCCAGTCCGGCCCTGCTGGTGGCTGAAGTACAACTCCCAGAATCCACTCCTATGCAGCCACTCTTGGAAATGAAAGTACTAATATGGACACAGGGAAATATAGTTTCCCCCTACGACATATTGTAAGTGAGGGGATGGACTTATATTGGCATGATGTTTGCAAATGGCTGCTTTTGTAATACAACATATGCAGGAATTAGGTGTTTAAACAAGAATGAGAGCAATGAGGTGAAATGGATAAAAGGCACAGTCTGTTGCTCTACATAATTAATTTTCAGCACTTTCAGAGTGCAATGGTGTTATGGAGACAGGCTCGGGCACCAGGTGTAGTGCTGTTGTGGAGACATGCTCAGGCACTGACTTTATGGAACCACCATCCTCTATGTTAAAGTTGTGCAAGACTGCAGCCAATGACAAAAAGGATAATGTGAGGCCTGAGAGAAAGCAGTTGTTGTTGGGGGATTCTACCATAAGAGGTGTGGAGCTGGACAATAGTGGCCTTGTAAGATGTCTTCCTGGAGCTACTGCACACAAAGACAGGAGACGTATTTGTAATATTGTTAAGCTAGTTAAGCAGGAAGGGGAATTGTATATACTTGTTAATTTAAGGACAAATGACGTGGCTTGCAATGAGGTTTCAGAGGTAAAGGAACTGTTTTGTGTTTTTGCCAATGATATATGGCAGGTTGCTTCCACACTGTCATTCTCTGACGTTCTGCCTGTGCATAACACTCAGAACGACAGGTGGGTGCATATTAGGGACTTTAACTTATGGCTTGGTGAATGGTGTCGGGAGCAAGGATTTGGCTTAATTTTTTATGTTAGCTCTGTTTGGAATGGAAATAAACTGTACAAAAAAGATAGTTTACATCTTTCTCAAAATGGAAAAAATGTTTTCAGTGAGCAGTTCAGAGGTTTTGGTATATATTTATACTGGGGGGGGGGGGCAAAAGGGTGATAAAACATCAATCCAATTGCCCCTCAAAACAAGGACAGAATGTGCCTGTAGCAAGTGTGTTAAAAAATTATAAGCTTAGAGTCGTGTCTACAAATGCTCGCAGTTTAGGGAATAAGATCCATGAACTTGTGGAAATAATGACAACTGATAATGTAGATTTAGTTGCTGTTACTGAGTTATGGTATAATGAGAAAAATGACTGGGATATAGCAATACCAGGGTACTCCTTATATAGAAAAGACAGAGAAGGAAAAAAAAGGGAGGGGTGGCCCTGTATGTGAAGGATAGCATAACATCTAGCCTAATAAAAGCTAGTGAGGTGAACATAGAGTCCGTTTGGGCTACGTTGGAATTTGATAATCACACAGTAACTCGTGTAGGTGTGATTTATAGGCCCCTAGGACAAATAGAAGAGTTAGATCATCTACTAGTTGAAGAAATCGCTAAAAGGACAATAAAGCGGGAAGTTATCATCATGGGTGACTTTAATCTTCCTGATGTGAATTGGAAAACCAAAATAGCTGTTTGTGCCAGGAGCACACATATTCTAAACTCCCTACTGGGATGGTCTCTAAAACAAGTCATAGAGGAGCCAACTCTTAAGGAGGCCATGCTAGATTTAGTGTTAACAAATGGAGATTTGGTATCAGATATTACTGTAGGTGAAAGTTTAGGATCCAGTGATCATCAGTCAGTGTGATTTAATATAAGAACAGTGACTGAGTCACACCACACAAAAACAAAAGTTTTAGACTTTAGAAAAACAGACTTTTCCAAAATAGGGATATGTGTAAAGGAGTCATTATCAGACTGGAGCAGTTGAAATGGAGTCCAAGAGAAATGGGATTATTTAAAATTTGCACTGCTGAAGGCAACAGAAAATTGCATTAGGCTTGTCAGTAAAAGCAAAAAATTTAAGAATCCACTGTGGGACTCCGCAGATGTGGCCAAAATAATAAAAAGCAAAAAGTTAGCATAAGGTAATTATTAAAAAAAAAACAGAGTGAGGAAGATAGACAGATCTATAAGATTAGGAAGAAAGAGGCAAAGCAAGTTTAAGAGCTTCCAAATCACACACAAAAGAGAAAATAGCACAGTCAGTAAAAAATGGGAACAAAACATTTTTTAGATACATAAATGAGAAAAGGAACGTAAAACAAGGATTAGTTAGATTAAAAACAAAAGAAGGAAGGTATGTAGAAGAGGATAAAGGTCTAGCTGACTGCCTCAATGAATATGTTTGTTCAGTATTTACAGATGAAATGTGCCTTCCATTGCTTCATGGTCTGATGCTTACGTCTCCCTTGAAGGCACATTTGGCAGTGGGCATTTGTCTTCATGAGCTCTCTGACCAGTATGCAGCTATGCAAGCCCCATATGCAGCAAACTGCAAGGCACTATGTGTTCTGACATCATTATTACATAGTCAGCATTAAGTTGTGACCTTTCACAAGGAAGGTAGTAGGGAGGACACGGCAACTATAGGCCAGTGAGCCTTACTTCAGTAGTGGGTAAAGAAATGGAAACCATATTAAAGGATAGGATTGTTGAACATCTAAAATCACATGGATTTCAAGATCAGAGACAACATGGGTTTACTTCAGGGAGATCATGCCAAACTAATCTTACTGATTTTTTTGATTAGGTAACTAAAATAATGGATCAGGGTGGTGCAGTAGACATTGCTTACCTAGATTTCAGTAAGGCTTTTGACACTGTTGTACATAGAAGGCTTATCAATAAACTGCAATCTTTAAGTTTGGATTCCAATATTGTTGAATGGGTAAGGCAGTGGCTGAGTGACATGTTACAGAGGGTTTTAGTCAATGGAGTGTATTCAAAGCATGGTCTAGTTACCAGTGGGGCACCTAAGGGATCTGTACTTGGAACTATTCTCTTTAATATTTTTATATTAAAGTGCAAGATAATGCATCTTGGACGTGAAAACCCAAGGGCAGAGTACAGAATATTTAATAGAGTCCTAACCTCAACATCTGAGGAAAGAGATTTAGGGGTAGTGATGTCGCGAACCCGAAATTTTCGGTTCGCGAACGGCGAACGCGAACTTCCGCAAATGTTCGCGAACCGCCCGAAACGCCATTGACTTCAATGGGGAGGCGAATTTTAAAACACACAGGGACTCTTTCTGGCCACAATAGGGATGGAAAAGTTGTTTCAAGGGGACTAACACCTGGACTGTGGCATGCCGGAGGGGGATCCATGGCAAAACTCCCATGAAAATTACACAGTTGATACAGAGTCTGGTTTTAATCCATAAAGGGCAGAAATCACCTAACATTCCTAAATCACAATCAATATGGATTGACACCTGACATATGACATATTGACACCTG